AGGAAGGCACACTGTCTACTTCCCATGGTGCGAGTAGTCATCACGAAGAAAAGATTCTTGAATAATTTTGAGACAAGGTCTGGTCGTGTGGACACGTAGGCCAGACTGGCTTCAATTTGTTTTTTGTTTTAGTTTGCTTTTTTGTTTTGTTTTTGATTGTTTTATTTTTATTTTATGTGTATGAGTGTTACGCCTGCATGTATGTAAGTGCGCTTGTGTCAGGCAGTGCCCACAGAGGACAGAAGAGGGCATCAGATCTCCTGGAACTGGAGTTATGGATGGTTGTTAGCTGCCATGTGGGTGCTGGGATTCGAACCTGGGCCTCTGCAAGAACAGCCAGTGCTCTTAATCGCTGAGCCATCTCTCCAGCCCCTGACTGGCCTCAGTTTGTGATCCTCCAGCCTCTGGAGTGCTTGACAGTGGGGGTGTGACGGCATGCCTGGCACTGTTCTTTATGTTATAGGGTATATTAGGATGCTTTCAGTGTAAGTATGGAAGCTGAGATATCTGAATGTCTGTTTTAAACAACAGAAAGATTTCTTCTTTTTAAACCACATGGTTATATCCCAAAGGGAAGCAGGGGCTGCAGTCTCCATGACTCTGGTCCAGTCTTGTGACCATCTCCTCATGGTCCTAAGATGGTTGCACTAGTTCTAAGCACGACAACTTTACACCTTATTCAGAAGAAATAAACCAATTAGCTTCTCAGGTGCTCCTCTCTTATCAAGAAGAAAAGGTCTCTCTCAGGAGCCTGTTAGCCAACTTCTCCTTGTGTTTCTCTGGGCAAAACTGGGTCACAATACAGGCTGGGAAAATAAGTAATTTTTCCCATCTCTGCTTTGGGGTTTGAACATAGGAAAGAGGATTTGAAAAGGGTCAAGCAATCCATGTTTGTCATTTTCAAGTATTCCTCCTTTTATGCATTTTTCTTGTAAGTGAGTTCTGGACTCTGCCTGATGACTTGTGACGTGTTGTATTGTGTCCACCCAAGAAGCTACTCCTGAATCCAGTTATTGCTATTTGCTCCCCAACTTCACATCTCTCTTAAGACTTCCATTCAGGAAGGTCTGAGTCCCAGAAAATGTTGGCTTTCTACCAGTCAGATAATCAGATCTCCCCCATTTCCCAAGCCCTACAGGGGTGCAGAGATGTATAAGTAGCCATTACGTTCCTAGCCTCTGGAACCTCACAGTCTAGTTGGTAGAATATGACAGAAATTTAGAAAATGTGCAGTGACAGCATAGAACCACACCAGAAACTACAGGCCCAAGGCAACCTATGACTCCGAGCCAGTTTGGGAGGCAAACATCAAAAGGTGCCACTTCTGGCACTAGGGACAGGCAGAGACCATGCCCTAAGGCAGGTGGATGCTGGCCTTACACTTAGATGGTGCCCTTTGACTTTATGTGGGAACCTCCAAAGCTCCTAACACTTTACATGCCTTAATCCATCTAATCTACATGTCAGTCATACCAGGTATCATTGTCTCTTACATTGCAAGAAGTCAAGGCTCACGGTGGTTGAATAATTTACCCGAGGCTTTCTAGTCAGCCTGGTGGGTGGTGGTAACCACAATTCATAACTGCCCGTTGTTTCCCAGTTCTGCTCATCTGTTTAGTAGACTCTAATCCACTTAGGAGGTCATATGATTCATAACTGGCCAATTGCCCACCATACCCTACTTCTTCCTTAGTTGTGACTGGCCCACAGTCAGACCCAAACCAGTCGCAAACAAAGACAAGATGGTAGAAGACATGGACTGTCAGAGGCACTTCAGGGGACTGAGTTCAGGGTGTTGGCTGCTTTTCATTGCTGAGAGCTTCTGCATGCCTCACAGCCAGGAAGTCAGCTTTCTAAAAACCCACCAGCTTTATAAACTGTATTCACAGAGTGTGCAATCACTCAGTTAAAGCATACAATTCAGCGGTTTTTAGTTCATAGAGTTGTGCAACCATGTCAGTTTTAAAGCATTTTCATCATCCCAAGAAAAAACTGTACCAGTTACTCCCCATTTCTCCCAAACACCTCCAGTCTTAGGCAACCACCAACGTACTTTGCGCTTCCACGGATTTGGCTAATTTAGACATTTCTGTTTAAATGGGATCCTATAATATGTGATCCTTTGTGAGTGGTTTCTCTTCATTTAGTATACTGCTTTTAAAGTGCTTTTGGCTGCAGTTGGATTTCTAGCACTTTTCAACTAAAAGCGTACCCAGAATGTGAAGCCAAATGTGGTGGACCCATTGCTTCTATTTTACCTGGTGAGGCCAAATCATGAACTTAGAATGCCGTACCAAAGAGTTTGTCCTTTCTGCATGGAGATTGCCCATTAAGAGAGAGGCACATTTAGAGCAAGGTTAGAGTAACAAGTATTAGATTATTCTCACAACAGTGATATTTTGTTTATATTTTCATCTTTGGGGCCAGCAATGTTGCTCAGTGGGTAATGGTGCCCGATGTCCAAGCCTGGCCATCCTTGGAACTCACATAATGGTGGAAGGAGAGAACTGACTCCCAAAAGTTGTCCTCTGACCTCCACACATGCACTGTGAAATGCATGGCCCCATCAATAATAATAATTTTTTAAAGATTTTCATCTTGCATATATATGTAATACATCTATACTCAAATACATAGGGCTGAAGATTAGAGCAGCAATGCCAAGCAGATTCCACAGAACACTGGTGTCTAGTGAGAGGTATTCCATGAGGGGTTGAGAAACATTGTCCCTTTTATCTGGAAAATGCAAAACCAGTAATATTCAAGAGAGTCAGGCTGCAGCAGCTTGTCATCTAAACGTCCGCACCCACTCCTGTTGGCTGTCAGGCAGGTGAGGGGGACAACTCCCTTCACCCTGCTTCATTCTTCATCCCCTATGAAGGCTAATCTGAAAGAAGCACGTGTCCCATGTAACATGTCCCATGTATAAAAGAACAGGATGGAAATAGGCTAATTCCAAGTGAGGAGTAGGAAGGCCTTTTGCAACCTCCCTGCAACCAGTCCATTCCTTCCGAAAGGATACCACAGTAGAGCAGGGTAGAGTTCTTATGGAGCAAATCCAGATCTGTAGAAGACAGAGCAGTGGTAGGAACCAGGAAGGGGTAGGGAGCAGCACATCTGAGGCCTTGCTCAGTCCTTCCACAGTCCACGAGCAGTCAGGACATTCTTCATAGCCAGCCTCATCATTTCTGAGGTGGCCAGCTCAGCCTCTTTCTTCTAAGCCCAGGACGTTCCCACTCAGGGGAATACGCTTCCTACCCATGGCATATCACCAGGAGTCTCCCACCCCATCTCCTCCCCTAGGAAGCTACAGAGTAGCTCCTCCAGCGCTCTACTCAACTTCCACGCTTTAGGACACTGAGTATGGACTTGGGTGTATTTAGTGAGTGGTCTAGCCAGAGAAGATAAGCTAGCAGGGTACAGGGGATGGTGCACGGGGCTGTACCCTCTGTCCCAGGAGCACTGGAGTAGAGCAGGAAGGAGAGAGTTGTTGTCATAAAGGATTTTAGGAGGTTCTGGGCACAAGCCCAGCACTTCAGGGCCCCAGAGACAAAGTGTAGCACAGTATCAGGTTTCCTCCTGACTCTGACCCAGAATCCAGCCCCACTTGATACATCAGCACTGGTGACACTGGGCCTGTGGGAAGTAGTGCTTTAGAAAAAGCAACTGGTGCTTTAATGGAGAGCATCACAGAGGCACACTATAGAGATCTGAGCAAGCACTAGATGGGCACCTTCTCCCTTGAGCTGAGGGTATAGGTATCTCTTGAGCTGACAGTATAGTATCTCTGGAGGAGCAAAATATCCTGAGGAAAATAGGGCTCTGGACTGGAGAGGTGTGAGGATTCAGGAAAATGTGTACACCTGGGCTTTGGGTATCCGCCTCAGGACACAATGTGAGTTCTTTGAGGGCATCAGGCTCTTGCCCAGGCCCCAACACTCTGACCTAGCTTTGCTGAGAACCCACATGCCTAGAATGACAAGGCATGAAGCAAGCGTGTAAATGGGAGCAGGGCCAGAGTGAGGCTATCGGTGAGGCAGAGGGTACAAGCACGGAGGCTGCCCAGCCAGAGGCTGTCCTATAGGAATGCATGCCAGGGATTCTCAATTTCTTTTCTTAAGGATTGGTCTCTACCTTGCTGTGCAGCTGAGGATGACCCTAAACTTCTGCTCCTCCTGCCTCTGCCTCCTCAGTGCTGATGTTTAAAGACATTTTGCACAATGCCCAGTTTATATGGCATTGGGATCAAACCCAGGGCTCCATGCATGCTAGGTAAGCACTCTACCAACAGAGCAACAGCCCCATCCCTGAAATCCAGATTTTTAGGGTGAAATCTCCTGATTTTCCAATGGAAACATTGGCAAGTGTGAGAATTATTATCTATAGTGCCTGCTCAGATCCACTGTCTGTCCTGGGAAGGAGTCTCTGAATAGGACCCTTTCCCTGCCCCTGATCTCTCACCCTGTACGGTCCAGCGATATTGGACAATGCAAAAACAGGCAAACTGAAGAATGAGACATCATGATATGAACCCCACATTCAAAGTCTTCCACAACCCCATTCATTGGGGTCATGGTTTTGACAGTGGCTGTGTTCTCTTCCCACTGCTCCTGTACACGAGCCCCTCCCTCAGGTTACAGTTCTTATGGTGTGCTGACCCTTCCTTTCCTCTGACTTCAGGCCTTGGACTGGTGAGGCTCCCCCTACAGCTAGTCTCTGAGGGCCTTGCCCTTGTTTGCAGGCTGTCTTTATCCTGACCCTATAAACACCCATGTAAGCTGTCCCTTCCTCGAAAGCTCATCTCAATAAAGCCTTTGGATTGTGCCATTTTTCCTGCCAGGAACCACCGGTCTCAACTAGTTCAGTTTGTGCCTGCTGATGGGTGTTTAATGCACTGTACTTAGGCTGAAGCTGAGAACAGGGTGCAGACCAACACAGTGCTGCTTCAACTGTCATTCTGAAACAGAAGCAGCAGTCCCCCAAAGGAAAGAGCCTTGAGATGAGTTCAACCAGTTTAATGACTGGTACAACCATGCAAATGCCAAACCAGGGATGCACAAGGCAACAAAGGGTCTGGGGAATGAAGGGGGCACTACACTGTCACAGGGAAAATCAGGTTGGCTAATGTTCACAGGGTTGGGGGAGGAATGAGGAAGGGGAGGGAAGACCCACTGGCAGCTCAGGCCTATGACATACTCCTCGGGGAAACTCGTATCCTGTCATGAAAGTGGAATCAAGTTGGCCACCTTTATTCCCGAACATAAATTCTTGTGCAGACCACGTCATCGGCGCCAAATGTCTGCACAGGAGAAGAAAAGGAAAACCAATCAGTACAGATGCCTGTATGAAAATGTTTAAAGCATATTGCCAACATGACCACTGACTGCCCTGTTGACAACTCTTTATATCAGACATCCAATTTCCTGTGCTCTGTGCTCATGCTAAGTACTCAAGGCATGGGGCTGGGGGTTGGGAAGGGTTCTCCCCAAGCTTCCTCTCAGCAAAGAAGCAAATAGGGTATAGAATTATTATAAACCATCCTCCTGTGCTTCAGGAAGTTGTGAATCCTGTTATAAGAAATGCAAATTTCCTGGCTTTCATCTTGGAATGAAATTTAAAGGAGACAAATATATTGGGTATTTCTAAAGGGGTTCTGCCTCCTTTCAAGTGACTACAAGAGAGTAGGGGGCTTAGGCAGCTAAAGCAGCTAAAGCCACATGGGATTGCTTTGGAGATGGGATACAACTGCTTTTTGGAAAGCAGACATCTGGCCTGGGAGAGACTAGCCTGCTTCCAGTACAGCCAAGCCCTCTGTATCCACAGCTTCTCCATCTTCTCATTCAACCAACCACAGACTGAAAACATTTTTTCAAAACTTGTATGTGTACTGAACATGCACAACTGTTTTTCATGTTACTATTCCTTAGACAAGACAGTATAGCATATTCACATGCCATGTACTTGGTATTGGGTATTGTAAGTAAGCTGGGAATGATTTTTAAAAATACAGGAGGTTGTGTATAGGTCATAATGCAAATACTACTTTATATAAAGAACTTGAGCTTTCACAAATTTTGGTATCTGCATGGGTCCTAGAACCAATTCCCCATGGATACTTGTTACCTCCAAACCAGAAAATTTGTCTTAGCAGCAAGATTGCAGCATTGGCATTCGGACCTGGCTCTGTAAGGCAGAGCTGGTCAAGCTAGGCAAGTTTTTGTTCTCTTGGCCTGTTCAGGGTGGGCAGGGTGGTGCTGATGGGAAGGGTAACTTTGAACAAGATGATCCCAAGGCTCTTTCTAGCTAAGATTCTAGGGCTTTTTGTTGGCTATAGGGAGGGCACGAATCATTCCACAGATGGGGAGGGACATTTTCTTCTGGCTCCTGAAACGATATCACCCATATAAATAAGCTGTCTCAACTTTCCCCTGAACTACAAATTACTCCCAGGCCTGCTCTCCCAGGCTTCTCCCAGGCATTTAGAACAGGGAAAGCAATGTGGAATGTGCAAAAACCAGACAAAGCCTCCCCAGTCTGTGGCCCTGATGTGGGAATATTTGTATGCTTATCTGCTGAAGGGTCCTTATCTTTCAGATTACCCAAATGGTCTGCAATTCAAGAGCAGCTAAACCACTAGGCTAAGACTTTAATTATCTCAGGGTTTTTAGATTCTTTTCTTAAAAATCTACGTATTTATTTTGCAATGCTGGGTCTTGTACATGCTAGGCAAATACTCTACCAGCCCTGTTGTAGCCTTTTAATTGACATAATAGTTGTCTGTGCTTATGGGAAATCTTCAGATTCTTACCCTTGGAGCCCTTAGTAACTAGATGCTCTCAGGACAGTTGCTAAGGCTTCATTACCTGCTTCTGAGAACTACTTCTAGTATATATGGATTACTGAGGAGCTCATGCTAAGACAGGCTGAGTTCTACCTGCTTCCAGACAGCCATTCCCTTCCCCATTAGTGAGGAATGCAGAGGATTCTCAGTCCAGGGTATGTGCAGGAGGGGGTGGAATTTCCACCATAAATCCACTTCTTAATTGTTGCACCCCAGAGTCATGCTGATTTCCCAGAACCCCTTGAGCTCTATGGCCACAGTGTCAAATGGAATGCCAAAGTTTGGAATTTCACTCTTTGCCGTGTCTGCAGCAGCTCTTTTAGCTATATGAAGCTCACCCAGGCAAATAAATGGCTTCATGACTTGGGAAGAAATCCCCACATTTCTAACCACATTTGAAATGCCCCTTTCAGTCTACAAGGTATGCTTACAGGCTCCTGAAAGAAACTCTCTATAGAATATTTCAGAGCAGTGTAAGGGAGTGTACTCAGATTTCAAAGGAAGACAATTTACAGCCCAGGGCAATTTACTGTTGGCGCTGGGAGAGCTTATTTCAACTTAACTGGAGTAATTTGCCTCTTGTTATATGAAGATTACATCTCCCAACGTTTTGGATTTATTAATGGTAATAACCCTTGAAACAAAAGCCCACATTTCACATCCCAAATGCCAGGAATTAATGTTCCCTTTGAGGTTTGTATATATGCTCACTGAACCAGAGAAGGATGCCAGGGAGGAGTGGGGGGGTGGGGGGAGACAAGATGTGGTCTCGTCCTTTAGGGGAATTTAGCCTATGACCTCCACTATTCGGTATAACAGAGGTCCTCAAAATCGTACTTTTCTGACATATACTGATCAATCCTACTTAGCCCTCAGCTAGATTTAAGAACTCTAAATTCAGGTCATTCTTTCCTGTTTCTGGTCTCTGTAAACCATATATGCCTATTCCCCTAGATTTCCAACTCTCAGCCTCAAATTTCTCCCCAAGCCCATCAAGTAGCCCTCTTCTGGAAACAACATTAACCAGGTTGCAAATTAAGCCAGCCCTTTTGTCCATGAAATGAGAAAAGCAAGTTAATCATCCTAGCAAAGGCCAAGGGTGGGAGGGGTGTCAAGCAGCCTCAAAGTAGGAGAGATGGCTCAATCTAGGGTCTTCTTGCAAACCAAACATGTAATTTTAGGGCTGAGAGGAACCCCAGGAGCCAGACTTCAGCTCAGTCCTTCATTTTACAGCAGGGGGCTGGAACTAGGAAAGGTCCATGCCAGGGTCACACAGGGCGTCTTTCTCCAGCAAACTGCCCTGACTCCAGTACCAAATTTCAGTATGTGTAGGTGATGGAGCAGGAAGTCGTAGATGATATTAACAAAATACCTAATGGAGAACAAAGGATGCAACTGTGGGTTACCCATAAGGGCTTTTCCTTTTTCTGTAGGGTAGGGGGAGAGTTTAGTCAGTTCTGAATGACATGGGGTTATCTGCTCTCCCAGTCTCCCCTCTTTTCCTCTATCTAAAAATGGGGAGATGTGATTAAACTAAAGGGATATTTTTTCCTTTCTTTTTTTGGTCTTTTTGAGACAGGGTCTCCCTGTAGCCCCAGCTGACCTGGAACTCGCTATGTAGACCAGGCTGGCCTCGAACTCACAGAGATCTGCCTGCCTCTGCCTCCCGAGTGCTGGTATTAAAGGTGCACACCACCATGTCCGGCACTTTTCTTTTTGAGACAGGGTCTCCCTCTAGCCCCAGCTGGCCTGGAACTCACTATGTAGACCAGGCTGGCCTCGACCTCACAGAGATCTGCCTGCCTCTGCCTCCCGAGGGCTGGTATTAAAGGTGCACACCACCATGTCCGGCGCTGTTCTTTTTGAGACAGGGTCTCCCTGTAGCCCCAGCTGACCTGGAACTCGCGATGTAGACCAGGCTGGCTTTGCACTCACAAAGATCCGCTTGCCTCTGCCTTCTGAGTGCTGGGATTAAAGGCATGGGCCCCTACCCCCGGCCCTTTTTTTTTTTTTTTTTTGGAGACAGGATCTCACTATATAGCTCATATGGCCCTGGAACTTGTGATCCTCCTGCCTCAGCCTTCAGAATGTTGGATTACAGGCATGGTCACCATTAAGGGCTTTAAACTTGGCCTGGTAAGGTTTGTTTGGCTGGGGGTCTTTTACATGCTTTAATCTGCCTACTTTTAAATAGAGCTCACCTTCTCTGGTCTTTAAAATCCCACCTGTCCACACTGTTGCATTCAGTCACTTCCCAAATTAGAATTCCTTGCCTGGCTCCTGAGGGTCATTAGAGTTTGTTAAGTCTAGAGGTAAAAATATTCTCTATGGCTATGAGTGCTGATGTGATAAAAATTTCTGAAACCTTTCTCAGCTAGAAAAATAGGTCATGAAGCGAGGAGGCAGAATCTTGTCTTGTGTAAGCTGAAGGAATCTCACAAAGCCCCCACATTCCAAGCCAAACCAGAGGGGAGATTGGGTATCACTTGCCACTGCCTTGGTGATAGAACAGTTTGGACAATGCCGGGCACCCCAGCCTGGCTCAGATGGGATCCTGCCTTCTCAACCACTACTCTCTCCTGCCAACCATTTAACAATGATTTCCTGTAACTTAAATTGTCATCCCAGGATTTCCACTCAAATTTTAACCCTGAGGGCAAATGTCTTTCTCTAAATGGGAACTCAAGGACAGCACACTTGTGTGGCCCACCTCAGGACTCATCTGGGTAACCCTGGGATTGTTTCAGGGTCAAAGGGCCCTCACCAGGATGAGCTCGTCGTCGCTGGCCAGCTCTCGGGTCCAGTAGGTTTTGGGGCCGTCCCCCTCAAGAAGAGTTTGTGTGCAGTGAATCTTGTTCTCATTTTCCCAAGTGGCTAAACTCTGCGGGCAGGAAAACCATTAGCGACATTAATTATAGTCTCAGCAGCAGGAGGGGAAGACAACAATGAACAACCGGAGAATAATTGCTGTACAGAGAAGCAACACATGGTCCCTGTCAGCAGGGCACAGAATCTTCTCTGCTGAGCAACATAAAGTGCAAATTCAGAGTGCTGGTCACGGATTTTATGGGGTATAAATATACCTTATATCACATACACAGAGGCTCACTGAAGCAAAGCCTTAGGCATGCTTTACATCTCTATGAATAAAATTCAGAGAGCACAATGACTCATTTATATCAAAATGGACCTCTTCAAGCAATTTGGTCTTCAAAGGACCTAGACTTCAGAACCACAAAATGTTACAACCGTTTAGACATTGTGTTTACAATCACATCAGTGGTCAGCAGATCAGCAGTGTGGTTCACTGCTTGGATTGTAGAAAAACACTGTCCTTTCTCTTTGGACTCATTAGATGTAGACCAGCCTGCTTTAATAAACCAGTTATCTCTGCCTCTGAGGATTAAAAATGCTTCCACCTTCCAGAAACATTTTAAAAATCAGACCAAACTGAAGGGTCTCAGTGGTGTTGGAGGTGGGTGGGTGAGAGGAGGATTCCCTACAGTTTTTTCCAGTGTCTGCATAGAGAGCAAGGTGAGGTACAGCTGGGCTGGGTAGTGCTGAATGTCCACATAATCACTTTTTAACTAACACATGGGACTTGTTCATTAGGCAAAGGTGGGGGAAGGGACAGGGAATTTTTTTAAAGCCCTGCTCTCCAGAGTGTTATGTGATTCTTTTTGTTGTTGTTAAAAACAGAATTGCCCTCCCTGGCAGTGGCCAGAGTTAAATGTCCTCAAATTGAGCCCTACCTATGGCTAAGTCATTTCCAGTAGACTTTCATTCTATAACCACCCTGGTTTTTGGTTTTTTTCATTTGTTTGTTTGTTGGTTTTTTTAATTCTGTGACACTGAGGATTGAACTCAGAGCCTACCTAGCACTGCACTATATTCCCAGCATGTTCTTCTGTTTTTTCAAACAATGCGGTGAACCTCCGATCACACCAGTCTTAAGCATGGACATCATTTTCAAGCTATGCTGGTTCTGATGGGCCAAGACCAACTCCTGAGTGAGCCTTGGGAGCAGTGTCTCTCTGTCCTCCCAAACCTAGTGACCAGATTCACATTTGGTTCAGACAGGTATGGGCTCAGGAAAGATGGAAGAAATGATTTCCTATTCTTTAGATTGTTGTTGCAGTACTTATTTATTTACTTATTTATTGAGACAGGATCTTACTATACAGTCCTGGCCAACTCCAAACTTGCTGTGTAGATAGACCAGGCTGACCTGGAACTCATGAAGATCTCCTGCCTCTGCCTGCCCAGTGCTGGGATTAAAGCGGTTCATCTCTAAGTTTGGCCACATTGAAATAAAACTGAAACATGGAGAAGCTGGGTTTGGTGGTTCATCCCTTTAATCCTGGTACTTGGGAGGCTGCAACAGGAAGACTGCTGCAAGTCCAACCCAGTAGCACTTTAGAGTGAGACCCTGTCTCAAAAAGAAAACAAAACACAACCCACAAAAACTAACCAATCAAACAAGCAAGAAAAAATAAATCCACACTAGAGAAAGGGGGGTATTATTAAAATAAGACTAACAAGATTGGTTTTATAGCCAATGAAGTTTTTGCACGTGCAAAAAAGCATTGTGCAATAATTTGCTTCAGTCCACTGGGCACATGTTTTCAGAAATTAAAAACCTCTTGCCTGTTGGACATGGTGGGACGCCTATAACCCCAGCACTGCAGTGGGTGAGGCAGAAGGATGTTCGGTGTCTGCCTGGTCTACATTGGGAGTTCCAGGACAGCCAGGGCTACATAGCAAGACTCTGCCTCATAAATCTATCCTCTACTCTCTTGCCCTTGATGACTTAGAAAGGACACTTAATCCGTTTTCTCAGCTAGAACCTGTGGTGCTTTTAGATTTGGAAAGATCATGCCGGTCCTTTAAGAACCTCTGCTGAAGGTGTGACAGACAATCCGACTACGAAACTGGATCCAAAGCGTTCCCAGGCGGCCCAGGAACCCAGATCTGCAGCCCCACCTACGACAGGTAACCCAGCAGCTGCGCGGAACAGGACCCCAGGAGTCCCCACAACCTCCACTCCACGCCCACAGCGTTAGCGCGGGAGGAACCACAGCCGCGATCGCCCAGCCATCCAGAGCCCGCGCTTTAAGCGCGCCCATTGGCGCCTGGAGAGGAGGCTTAGGAATAGATGGGGTTGGGAGGGAATGGGGGCAGGGCTTTCTCTTAAGTCCGGGACAACCAGGTAGCGCAAACCTCTACGCAAACCGCGGATGACACACCCTGCAACGAAAGCTAGAGAGCGCAGCGGACCTTGGCTTGGAAGGGGTACCCGGGAGCGCTGTGCGATTTCTGGGGCCTCACCCTGCACTTGCGTCCGTCCACCGTCTCCTCCTCGAAGCCCTCTCCAACCTTAAAGTTGATCTCAGTGGTGCGCACTGTGGTGGATGTCTTGATGTAGAACTGATCCCCGTCCTGGCGGATCTCCACGTGCGGCTTGGACGCAGCGGCCACCGCCACCTTCCTCAGCATGGCGTTCACACCTGCGGAGGGAAGCTCAGGTGTGCACCGGCTCTGGTCACCCGACCTCACCCCACTCCCCGGGTCTGTCACTTCCCAAATCCTCTGACGTTAGACAGAGGTCTTAAAATGAACCTACTGGTCTCTCTGTCCCTCCCCGGGTTTTGGGGAAGGGAAACTGAGGCTCAGAGACACTGTAAAGTGGCTTTTCCCGAGTTACCCAGTGACTGCATGACAAAGCCTGGTCTCAAACTGAGTCCCCAGATTTAAAGTGTCTAACCCTCTCTGCACTCTAGTAATCGTTCTTCACTATGATCACTATGGAACCGTCGGGGAAGGCGCCAAATGCCCAGCAAATGTTAGTGAGCTCCGGCGAACAATTCTCCTCCACAGTCAGATGGGCACAGGAGACTGATTTAGCCCTCCGCAGACTCCCTTCGACATGGGCCTCCCCAGCGTCCACCCTCTCAGGCCCGGGGTACCTCGGAGCTGCTCCTTGCAGTCGGGGCACGCCCTCCTCACCCGCTTACCCAGCGCCTTAAGAAGCTCGTCGAAATTCTCGCTGCTGCGCATCTTCCAGGTGCCGGCGAAGTTGGGCATAGTGACTGTGGTGGCGAGGGTGGCGTGAAGACAGCTGCAGGCAGGGACCTGGCGGCGCAGCGAGCACACTCGGAGCTGCAAGGCGAGACTGGCGTCCTGCGCCCAGCCCCAAGAGCCTTGAGTCTCTAGAATAGCGCCCCCACACCGCGTCCTGCTGGGGCCCCGCCCCCGGGCCCGCCCCCGCACCGCCCCCGCACCGCCCCCGACCTCGGGGCCCCCACGTGGGGTGAGCCCAACTCCCCGCCCAATCTTGCCCCTACCCCATCCTTCATTCTTCCAGCCTCCCTTGATGCCTCCGAACCGGAACCGCTCTCCAACTCCCTGGTTGCCAAATCTACCCCATGCCGCCCACATCCTGCTCTAAAATGGGTGGTGGGAGAGGGTCTGATGAAACCAGAGTGGCCTGGAGGAGATAACTGTTGTTAGACAATGAGGATTTGGGGAATCATGACATCATTTCTCTACTTTTGTCTGCGTTTGAAAATATCCATTTTATACAGTGGGTAGTAAAGCCGTGGGGATGGGAGTCATTTTCTTCCCATTCAGTCCTTTCTGGATGGCACTAACCGGTTGGGTCCCCTCCTCTCTGGCCTTTTGGGTTGGCACATACTCGGAAGACCAACCAAAAAGTGGTGGAAAAGGCCCAACCTCTACCCTCACCATCCTGGGCACCACTGCACTGATGCAAAACGGTGAATCCTGGGCTTGGGTTCATAGGGCTGGAAGACGCCCAGGCCACTGTTTTGCTGTTGGCTTAGGACAGGTCATCGGTGCAAGAGGTGGATTGAAAGAGCTGCAAAGGGCAGGGTAATTGCAACAATAGCTTGCTTTGCTTAAAACAGAGGCTCTTCACTCTGTGGGCAGGCAGGAAGGCCTGGTGGAGGAAGCCACCCCCTTACCTTTGCGTTGACACAGTTCAAAAGAGTACCCTTTTTTCAAAGTTTCTACTAAGGCAGTACACACATTTCATCTCAGTTTTTTTTTATTTGTATATTTAATTTTTTTCATTTTATTGCATTTGCAATTGCCCTTTCTTGTCATCGATTTTTCTCACATTTACACAATAAAATGTATACATTTTTCTATGTGCCCCCCTATGTATTCTTTTCATCACACTAAGCTTATTCTATCTCCTAAATAACTGTTTTATAGTCCCCATTTCCTGAGCATATTGTTGTCCTTTTTTCTTTTATAGCTCTTCCCAGCAAACCTCAGATTTTCCTTCCAGCCTCTTTCCACTGTTTCATCATCTGTACACCTCAGGCAAACTACCCAACACAGCATTCTAGAACCAGCCACGTACCTTCCCATCTCAGAACCTTGGACCATGCTGTGTGCTCTCCCTGGAATGCACTTTCCCTCCTTTGGTTAAAAAACAAACAAGGCTCTGCTTCCCTCCATTTCCCCTGCCCCTCTCTCCTCCTAGCCTGGGTCCTGTCCCATTCCTTGTCTTGGTGCCCCAGACACGGAGGTGGCGGGGGGGGGGCATGAAGACGACGGGGGAGGACAGAGGACAGGGGACGGGGGACGGACACCACAACTGCTTCCTGATCCTTTGCATCCAGACCAACCCAGCTCCTTCTGGGGTCCTCAGGAGCCCTCTGGGCCCCGCCCTTACCTCCCTCTGCTTCCCTGGGCTGCACAACCTGCCAGCTTCTTTCTTGGACTCTGGGGCTGACCTTTCTGCTTCCTGATCCTTTGCATCCAGACCAAACCAGTTCCTCAGTGTAGTCCCCAGGAGCCCTTGGGGCCCCTTCCCGGCCCCCATCTCCCTTTGCATTTCTGGGTGGCATGGCCACTAGCTGTCCTAGACCAGCACCTTTCCTGGGCCCTGTTCCCAGGCCAGTCTAACCCCCAAATTCCTGAGGCCAAAATCTTTGCTGGAGGGATCCAGACCTTAGGAGAAAGCCTGAGAGCATCTGATCCTCATCTGACTTGGGCCTCTGGGGGAACTCCTGAAGACAAAAGCAATCTGGCCACTCCAATATAAAATCAAAAGAGAAAACCAGAAGCTTAGACGAACCAGCTCTTCATACCCAAAAAGTAAACCACAAAGACACATAAAGTTCAAAAAAAGAAGCAGAATGAAACTTGAAGGCCCGAATATGACACAAGAGTCAGAAACTACAAAAGAAATTCACATGTCAAAATCACAGAGAAAAAATATAACATGAAAAACCAAAAATATAACATGAAAAACCAACATATCGCCATCAAATACCAATAGTCCTCTAGAGGAGTACAGTAAGAACCCCCTAGAGATAATGCAGGACATGGAACTCAAAAGAACAATTAAAAACATAATAAAAGAATTCAGTGAATTTAAAGAACACGCAAATCAAAGAACTGAAGGAAGATAGGGATAAACTTCGGAATGAATTCGGAAGAGCTAGAAATATTGAAGACGACTCAGGCTGAGATGAAGAAGGAAGTGAAACACTCAGTAAGCCAATTAGAAATGACAGGAGAAAGCCTCACCAACAGGATGAATGAAATGGAAAACAGAG